GAGCGCCTTCGAGGGTAACGACCGGGGTGGTATTAAGAGAGGTGCATAGCACCGGGGAGGTTGAAGTTGGAGGTTGATGAGCTTGGGTCGGGCGGAGGTCATTAGATGGATCAAGTTTGGAAATGGCGGGCCAGCGGTGGAGCGCTACCGCGGTGTCATCACAGTGTCAACAGGCATCAGTAATATTCAAGCAGCTTCTTTGAGAATGGAAATTCATTGCAGGAACTATTAAAAAAAAGAGACATGAAGACTAACAGGCATAGGCAAATTTTAATTCCTGTTATTGAGCATTATTAAAGATTGTATGAAGGACAACGCTGAGGTCCACGTTGCAAACTGTACGGTACATATCAATTATCACACTGTCCCGCTACTTCAAGCTTGCATCGTCCTTATCACGCTTATCGATAATCGCCATCTCGACTCAATTCTAGGAATCGCCTCAGTCTTCCAGAACTCTCAACTTATTCATCCACATACACCACTCCCATAACCGTCTATATCTCTCGCGCTGTCAATCCTTGTCATTGCGGATACCGAATCACTGCGCTGGTATCACCTCCCGGATCCATCACTTTCCACGATTACGCGACATCCTTAACTCATCAATCATGGGTAACGACGGCGGCTCCATCCCCAAGCGTCGCGAGCTCGTCAAGAATGCGGCGCGCGCTCCTACAACATCCGAGCTGAAAGCGACGGCCCTTGAATCGCTCTCTCACGCCTGGGCTCACTGTGCTCTCAGCGGCGAATTCCTCGACGCCGATACTCTTGTCTCCGACTGGCGCGGCCGTCTGTACAATTACGAAGCGATTATCAAAGGTCTTATGCCCTCTGATGAACCAGTTGACGTCACTCCTGCGAGCCTGGGTATAAAGTCACTACGAGACGTGACCAAGCTGAAGGTTTCCAAGAATGGCGACAAGTGGGTGTGCCCCATCTCCATGAAGGAGCTTGGCCCTGCTGTGAAGTCTGTCTACTTGGTACCCTGCGGCCATGTCTTTGCCGATGTAGCTATGAAGGAGATCCAAGAAAAGGCATGTCCAGAGTGCGGTACTGAATTCGAGCAAGACAACATCGTTCCACTTCTTGCAAACTCCGAGGCGGATATCGAGCGATTGGAGAAGAGAATCGAGAACCTCAAGAGCCAAGGGCTTACACATACCCTCAAGAAAGACAAGTCGGAAAAGAAGAAGAAACGCAAGGGCGAGGATGTGGAGAAAGAGGACAAGGCTGCGAAGGATAAGAAGTCAGAAGATGCCAGGATAAGTGGTATCAACAATGAATTTGCGGCATCGTTAACGGCAAGAGTATTGGCTGAGCAGGATGAGAGGAATAAGAGAAGAAAGTTGGTGGCAGAGTCTGCAAGACGGGAGACTGCTAGAGGTTGAGAATAGGATTACAGCACATAATGATACCCAAAATCAATGAATATTTGCAACAAACGAAACGATGTGACTTTGATTGTACTCGCTCAAGATTCGTTGTTCCACGTCGGTGTCGCCTCTCTCGCTAACCAAATTGAATCCAATTGAATGGAGAGACTACAAACATTGACGACTGTATCTTACAATGCAAAGGCAAACGAACCGTTCACAATAAGATTCGAGTTCAAATAGGCATTAATGATAATGAAGCGTGCAATGAGAGTTTCTTCATCGGAGTCTCGTGAATTGTCGCACAAACTTCCTGTACTGACTGTTCATTTAGGGTAGCTGCTTCACTCCAACATGAAGCTTGACTGGACACAGAAGACATGTCATTACCAAGAAAGAAATCTAAACCTGACTGTACAGAATGATCATTTTAGTAGTGTATAACTTAGGAATTAGTTATGAAGAATGTAACCAAGATGCACGGCGAAGTTGAAATGATGCATTTTGAGGAGAAGTCAAAGCTTAAAGACAATAATCGTTTGGCACATAAAATAAAGTAGTCTATAAACAAACAAATCATGGGTATATAATGCATAACAGTACATCCAACAAACTCCACCTCAGTCATACCACTCATCAAATATTTCAACATCTCAAAAACTCCCTCGTAACCTTCCATGACGTCTCCCCCGGCTCAGGATCTCTAAAGAACGTAACCCAAATACCACCATCGTCCGCCGGTCCAATAAGCGCATTCTTAATCCTTCTACTCTCCGACACATCATACGGCGACTCAAGATTCGCTGATTTGAGAGCTGCAGAATCGAGGTGCTGAATACCTTCAAGCGCCGCTGATATCGGCGACACAGGTTCGGGCGTAGGAGTAGGAGATGAGCGACTCGACGCCAAACTGCACGGCGAGCCAGAGAGGATTTCTTCAGGTGTTGGATCGCTGAATGATGGGGGCGGGGGAGGTAAACTAGGAGGTTTTGAGACGTCGACTTTGATCTTCTTGGGATCACATGTGAAGAGGTCGAATGCCGCGTTTGCTTCGGCGGATACTTCGCTTAAACCGCTTGGGCTTGGAGCAACGAAGGGATCCATTGTGAAGTCAAGATCAAGAGGGTAGTCGAACTCTGACTCCTCAATCTCGATGCTTCGCGCGGCGATGACAGCTGTTTCGCGTGCATGCCAGAGATTCTCCCTGCGATTGCGCATTTGGTTTCGTGTCAAGAGCTTAAGCGCTGCGCGTCTCAGGAGAGGATGGCGACATTTTATAGCTGTCCAGTACACAGGCGGTATGATCTCCGTTTCGAAGCTAAAAGGCTCGAGTTTCGCGTTGGAGGGGACAGAGCTGATAATGGTTGATGCGAGAGTGATAATGTTCGCAAAGTTGGGTACGAACTGATCGAGCTTTGTCTCGCCTGTGTCCAAGGCAGTGGAAACCCAGATGAGAGTTGACTGGTGATATATGCGGAGGACGTTCAGTGAGTTTTCGAGAGAAGGAGATTGAGGACTCATTGATGTTGTCACGGTGAAGGCGGCGTGCCATCGACTCAATTGCGAGAGAAGACGTTGTTGTTCATTCTGAAGCTTTCGGATCTCTTCTGGTTCGGCATTCGGATTGTAAATCGGAGCTCGAGCGCTTGTGCTAAACTGTAAGGCATCATCTAGAAGAAGATAAAGCGCATATCGAGCTTCTTCGATGGTGGCAAAGACAGCGGGCATGTCGCTCCAGCTGCGTAGGTGCGCAGGAATAGGCGCTGGTCGACTGCCGAAGAGAAAGCTCGAGAGACTGAGTCGAGCATAGACAGGCACAAGAGAATGCTTAATCATCTCCATAGCCGGTGATCTTCCATCACCAAGCGTAGAGAGAATATGCCGTCCTTGACAAATATGCATCTGCGCAGCTGTATCGCGATCGATCAAGAACTCGACACAAATGAACAAGACACAAACAAGCAACGGCACAACAGACGGCTCACTCCTCTGCCCCCAATTCCTCAGCGACGCAATAGCATTTCCATACTCTCTAAACGCAAACCGCGTATCAATCTCCCTCAGACTCTTACTCTTGACCCCAACAGCCTCATGTAAACTGCTAATAGCGAGGATGGCATGTCGAACAGCTGGTTCGGTGGAACTCATCTTGAGAACCACGCCGCCCCAGAAACTAGCATCGATGGGACCGGAGAGCACTTTTGCAGTGCGCAGGCGGTAATGATCAAAGGCGCGTACTTCTTGGGGTGAGCCGAAGCCTGGTGCTGGGGAGAGTGATGTAGGTTCTGGGGAGGAGTTGGGGGAGGGACGGTAGCCGTCGCATTGACGGCCTGTTTTGATACATCGCAGACAATAAGGCTTGGCTTCTGTGGGTTGTTAGAAGAAGATTGGATAGAGGAATAGTGTTTGTTTACCATCACATTTTACTTTGCGAATTCTGCAGACTTGTTAGTGAATGATTTACGTGAGCGAATGAGTTATACGAACTTGCAGGTGATGCAGCCAGTGCGGACCTTCTTACTACCCTTACGGCCTGAAGCCTTGGGCGGTGTTTGCGACGGGACTGAATACATGAGGTCCACTAGTAAGTTAATTCTGTCTTAGGGCTGATGCTCAGCTTCAGTTGTCGAGGAAGAGTCCGAGATCAAGAGTCCGAGCCAAAGAAATGAAAGGAGCTTCGTGGGTGAACGTGGTGCCTTTATTTGCTTGGGTGCCCGCTGTAATTGTAGGGGCCTAGGCTGAATCCTTCTCCCCGCAGTGTTGATGATCCTTGCTTGATCTTGACGCGGTGCTTACAGAGCCCCTCGGCAGTGTATGGAGCTTATTTGCTGGAGAGGCGCTGGGATCGGGATTCTAAATGGATTGGGGCGCAGCAGCTATGAGGATGAGGCGGAGCTGATTAAGGGCATAGCCGGACAGCTATGATGATACTGTAGTGATTCATGATGGAGCTTCGCTGTTCCATTTATTGACACGGATAATAAATTGTTATATTGCTTCTGGTGTTAACTTGGCTAATGACCTAGACAGCAAGATGGCGGTTAGTACAGTGGGTGTCAGCATTGATAAGATGGGGATAGATTGGACGCCTGTCAGACCACATGCTATGGAGAGTCAATACGCATAAACTTAAACGTCATATGAAACCGCCAAACCTAGAACTAAAAAAGAAGAAACGAAACCCAACGGCTGTCAATATCCACGATAACCACTCCTCTCAGATCAGCCCCCAGCGCCTCAGCCTTACAACAGACTCCACCATATCTCCAATCCTTCCACGCAACTCCCCCTCTTCCCTAATTGGTCCGCTCGGACTCAAACCTCGGACTCAAATCGTAGGCGCAGTCAGACGCTAAATCATTCCAAAACAGTTCTATTTCCTCATTCGGACGTGTCTCTGGCTCGCATTCACTGTCCGAGATTAAAGCCAAGATTCGTAGTGATGCTATACACGAAATATAGTGAGATTTTTCAGCCTTGAGGCTGGGAGGATTTACGTATTGGAATCCGAGATTGAAATAAACTCAAGATCTTCAAGCTGATGTGAGGTGTATATAAGTGACGACGTCCGACGTATCAATGATATCTCTACTCATCCTTCGTTGACATCTCATTCTTTTCATAATGCCCTCTCTTTCAAAAATCGCAGCTATAGCTGCTGCATCCTTCACCCTCATCGACGCAAAAGCCTGTCCGCCCCTCGGCGCCGTCTTCCCAGCACCACAATCCCCCTCCCAAAGCCCCCTCGTTAAGAAAGCTGCATCCTTTCTCAAAGCAGGTCTCGATGCTCAAATAGGCGCTCAATTCAACACTTCAGCCCTCTCCATCGGTGTCAAGTCCCTTCATGAGGATGAACCTTTGTTTACGTATCAGTGGACACCGCCTAACCCCGGCGAGGGCACTGATAAAGTAGATGAAGATACTGTCTTTCGCATTGCTAGTGGTTCAAAGCTTTTCACGGCTTTGGCGGCGCACATTAGTGATAAGATTGATTTGGAGGCTTCGGTGTTGAAGTATTTGCCCGAGCTGAATAAGACGGCTGGGGATGATGATATCTTTTCGTTGAAGTGGGAGGATATCACCGTTGGATCACTCGCGAGTCATCTTTCAGGTGTTGGCGTTGATAGTAAGTCGCCTTCTCACCCTCAACTTCCACGTCTAACTGTGAAAAGTGGCCCAGGATCTTGCAATCTTCGGTTCCGACCCATGGCAGCCCTTCGGTCTTCCTGAGGTCCCGAAAAGCGAGAAGCCTAACTGCTCTGGTCTTCCTAACACTACTCCTTGTACTAGAAAGGATCTTCTTGAGCAGGTCAACCTTCGACCTCCAGTTTATGCCTCTTTTACCAACCCTATCTACTCCAACATTGGCCATGCTCTTCTTGGGCTTGTCATTGAGGCTGCTGAGGACATGCCCTTTGAGGATGTCATCAAGCGTGATATTCTTGATGTTGTTGGTATGAAGCATACTTATGTCGACAAGACCCCTCCCACAGATGATCTCTTCATTCCTGAAAAGGAGCCTACCTGGAATGCTACTCTCGCTGTCTTTGATTCGTAAGTCACATGTACTTCCCCTTCTGTTCTCACTGACTGTTTCTAGCGCTGGTGGCATGTTCTCTTCCGTATCTGACATGCTTCTCCTCGCCGATGGTATCCTCAGCAACAAGTTCCTCACCCCCGTTCAAACCCGCAAGTGGATGAAGCCCGAGGCCAACACCGCTTCATGGGGCTACCAAGTCGGTGGTCCTTGGGAGATCCTTCGCGGCGACAACATCACCTCCGATGGCCGTCTTATCGACATCTACACCAAGAGCGGTGATCTCGGTCTCTACCACTCCCAAACCGTCCTTATCCCCGACTACGACATTGTCATCTCCATTATGTCCGGCGGTCTCGAAGCTACTGCAAACCCCTACGTCACCGGCACCATCCTCAGCGCTGTTCTCCAAAACCTCCTCCCCGCTATCGAAAAGGTCGGCCGTGATGATACAAAGGAGGCCTTTGCAGGCGATTACGAGGACAAGGAGACCAACTCAACCATTACATTCGCAATGGACAGCGGTCCCGGTCTCAAGATCAAGAGCTGGCAGATTCGCGGCTTCGATGTCCTCAACAACATCGGAAACTACAATTTCAACGCCCTAGAGTCCAACGCCTCCACAGAGACTCCCTACGTCGACGCCCGCGTATATCCCAGCAACCTCAACAAGAAGGGTCAAACAGCATGGCGCGCCGTATTCGACCGTACAAACTCTACCGCCGACGCCGAATACGACAGCGCTTTGTTCTTCAAAGATGGAACATGCCAGACCTGGTTTCAGCAAGATCGTATGGTGTACGATTATCTACCGCTTGATCTGTTTGTTTTTGTTGAGGGTGAGGAGGGTGTTAGTGAGGCAGTGAGGAGTCCTGCTTTCAATGTTACTTTGACAAAGGTACGACAACCCGCGGAGAAGAAGGCAGCGGATGATAGGAATGCTGCTAGTGAGATGCACGTTGGAGGACTTGGTCTTACACTTGTGGCTGTGGCAACGTTTATGAGCTTGTTCTAATAGTTTGCAGGTTCAGTCCGGTTCTAGATATTAAAGAACGCGTTGGTGATTAATGTGGAATACATGAGACTTTAATATTATGTATAAATATCAGCCTTTAGCATTCACCAATGAGACTCAACCTTATAGATTGCAATGCACTGCTTAATCTACTAGGTACCTGGCCTAGCCTCGAGTGAATCTCACGTGCAAGTGTCCTCTGGTGACCCAGTGGGGTTCAGTTAGAGCCTCAAGAATGTTACATCAAAAGATGCTACCGGTGCTACGCAAGCATCATAGGTGCCTATTTAGTTTCATCGCCCTCTGACTCATACGGAGTGGCCTGAAACCATTAAAAAGCTGCGTCCCTCTGCCCAAACCCCGCGACATGGTCAAAGCGGATCTCAAAATGTTGGATCGACTCTGGTTTCCCGTTACGTGATTGGCTCTCGCGTATAACATGGCAGGTCTGTGAACTCAGCGCATGTCATTCACGAAACCAGGCAGCAAGGCTCTAGATAGTTGCAAAATAGTTAAAAGGGTTCCCAGAGAATCAAATGACTGTCTTCTCAGAGCTTTTGATTCATTTGAACCGTTCATCTCACTGTATTCAGCAAAGCATCACCCAAGATGGAAGACCAACAAGACAGCATCATGAGCCAAGGCCTCTTCATCGGCCTCCTGGAGATGATATTTCCTGGCATGACATATCTCCCCTATTTCGCCGCCTTCGCCTTCCTAATCAAATACGCTCTCGAATCTTGGTCCGAATCCATCACCGCGCGCTTCATCTCCACCGTCGAAATTCACGCCCAGGATGAAACGTACAACTATCTTATGAACTGGGTCTCCCGAAACAACATCTCCCAGGATAACTATCGCCTTCAAGCTTCCGCTGCACTGAATAACTCCTCTTTCACCTGGTCAGATGAGCAGGATGGCAAGCCTGATGTAGATGATGACGAGGAAGATGATCCTGTGGGCAGACAGATCAATGAGATGCGGTCCAAATCATCGACATCACTGAATAATGCTAAACCGCTGTACTGGACGCCTGCTTTTGGTACTCATTTCTTTAGGTATGAGGGCCGCATGTTGGCGTTTACCAGATCGCTTGAGGGTACAAACTATACGTCTACACCGCGGCAGCCTGAGAAACTGGCTATATCCTGCCTTGGCCGGGACGCCACTGTTCTCAAACGGCTGCTGTATAACGCTCGTGTCGACTTTTCTGAGAAGCAAAAAGGAAAGACTGGTATTTTCCGCGCGACCAAGCTCTACAGTGAAGATGAGATGTCTTGGACTCGATGCATGTCGAAAGCAACAAGACCTATGTCTACAATCGCCTTGGATGAACATCTCAAGCAAAAACTCATCAAAGACCTCCGAAGATATCTAGATCGCCAGACTAAGCATTGGTATGCAACTAGAGGCATCCCGTATCGTCGTGGTTATCTCTTTTCTGGTCCTCCCGGTACCGGTAAAACGAGTCTGACCCTTGCGGCAGCTGGTCTTATGGGTCTGGATATCTACATGGTCAACCTGAATTCCCCACGTATAAACGAGGATAGTCTTGCATCTCTCTTCCAAAAGCTGCCATATACCTGCATGGTATTACTCGAGGACATTGACGCTACAGGATTAGCTCAGAGACGTGGTGCAGATACAGCGACTATGGGGTCGCGAGGACGAAAGAAGAAGAGTGCAGAACGTCTCTCACTTTCCGGTCTACTAAACATAATCGACGGTGCAGCTGCTCAAGAAGGACGCGTTCTCGTCATGACTTCAAATCACACCGAAAACATTGATCCAGCTCTCATTCGACCAGGCAGAATCGATTTTACCATCAACTTCCAGCTCGCTACATCAGAAGCAGCCGAAGCGCTCTTCACTCAAATGTTCGACGCCCCAGACGTGGACCATGAGTCGGAAAAGAAGGCAGTGAAGTCTCTGCAGGAGCAGGCGAGAGAGTTTAAGGCAAAGATTCCAAATCTTTCTCTTAGTCCCGCAGCTATTCAGGGGTTCTTACTCACGCATCAGGAAGACCCCGACGGTGCCCTTGCTGCTGTTGATGAGTGGGTACAAGATGCTCTGAAGCAGAAGGATGTTGTAGTTGAAGAAGCCCCCGAGTCTGAAAAGGAAGTCACAGACTCTGAAGAGGATGAGGATAGTGATGGGGGCTCTGATACTTCATATCGCAAATGAGAAGTGGTTGTAACCATAAGTGTTGCTTTGTTAGATAGAGTTAAAGAAGGCAGATATGAAAATTCGAAATTCAAAAGGTGTGCTAATTACATAGGCATAGAAATCCCCAGACGCTCCGTGAAAGGACTATTCCAAATTCCCGTCGAGTTCAACTCCCTATAAACAGCCAACCATTTCTCCGACTCAGGATACATATTTTCCAAGTCCCCCTTCTTAACAGTATCCAAATCCAACCCCCAGTGAACCCTAACGCCCCTCCCCTCCTCCCCACTACACAACTCCTCCCTCATAAACTTCAACAACTCCTCCCCCGTCTTAACCCCAAACAACATATCCATCTCAACCATCATCGTCGTCCTCCCCTGCTGCGGAGCCAAAAACGCAATAGACTCCTTAACAAACCTCAAAGCAAACGGCCCAGCAAGAAACCACTTTTTCTCACTAGCTGCTTTTTGGAATAGTGCGAGGATGCGATCGACGATGGAGACTATGTCTTGGTTGGCGTCGAAGGATAGCTCCATGGCGTAGGCTTTTACGTCGTCGACGGCGCCGATGTTGAGAACTTTGAAACTCTTGTCGATGTAGTGCTTTACGGGGAGGCTTTTCATGGCGGTGGTTATGATGCCCGGGCTGTGAAGCGGCCAGCGGTTGAGGATCCAGACGAGGATGTCTTCGACCCAGTGGTGTTGGGCGAGGAGGCCTGCGAGCCAGTTATCGAATCCACGACCGCCTTCGCGCTTTGTAGCCGTTGAGCATGTGCGGATGGTGGTAACGGCGATGTTGCGGCCAAGTGTTTCATAAGGGTTCAAGTCGATCTCGAAGTAGTGATTCTGCAAAGGAGCAGAAGCAAGGCCACCTGCAAGTTGGGTCTTATAGTCTTGCCAAGTCGTCAATGACCGGACTTCGCTAAGGAAGAACGTGGGTACCACTTCAATGATGTAAGAGTAGACAAGACCTAGACAGCCCATTGCGATAAGTGCAGCTTGGAACCAATCATCATCCTGCTTGAGCTCCTGAGCATCGCCCGGGATAAACTTGGCAGGATCCGTGACGCCATCCTTTGGCTCAATCTGATAAACCTTTCCGGTCTCAGAGACAAGGATGATAGCTCGAACGAGGCTGGCAAGATTTCCAGAGTCTTTACCACTGCCATGAGTGCCAGTCGTTATAGCTCCGACAAGAGTCTGTCCATCATACGCTCCCATCGTCGCAAGAGCTTTCCCCATCTTATCAAGCTGGGAGTTCAAATCCTTGATCGTGATACCACTCTCAACCAACACGTGGTCTGAAGCTTTAGAAGGTTCTTTCAAAGTATCAGAGTTCAACTTTAAGAACTTATTCATGCCATGTGGATCAAGCAAAATCCCATCAGTAGGACAAATATCCGAGAACGAATGTCCCGAGCCAACAGCCCTGACATTAAGTTTCTGCTCCCGTCCATCTTTGACAGCTTGGACGAGGTCCGATAGACCCTTTGGATAGCGTAAGGACTTGGGTGTGCATTGTTGCTGGCCGATGCAATTGGCCCACGAGCCCTTGGGGGGAGGGCGAGGTCTGAAGAGTTCTTTGCCAGGCTTGGAAACCCCCTCAATGGAATCTTTGAGATTCTTTATCTCTTGGAATAAATCTCCGTTCAGGGAAGGGTCGATTGTGCGACGGTGCACTTCCTCAGCGAGAGCAGTGTTTGTTCGATCATGGTCGAACTTTTGAACGAGCTCTGCTGCGGACAGATTTTGGAGATCCATGATGTACTATGGTCGAAGGTATTATTTCATAAGTAGAAACTATATTCGCATAAGGGAAGAAGAGCCAATATTTGTCGCCTTATAGCAGTTTCATGGCTTTCTCTTGGGCTTTTCCCAAAGAATGTGAGGAGGTCGACTGAGACATATTGGCTGAATTTACATTCCTTATTGGATGGATATACGGCGACTAGGCAAGCCACAGCCGAACTAGCGACTCGGCACTTCTGAAAACGAAGGACTGCAGAATCTATAGCTGGCTAGACCATTATATGGATCAGCTGCATGTCCGAGAGTTTGAGGAGCTGAAAGTCAATGCAAAGTTATCACATTCGAAGCCCTCTTATCATAGGCCAATTCTAGGGCTAGCTTCTTGAAGGGATTCAGCTTCCAAAGTGGTGTTTTATTTGTTACTGTGTGGCTGCCGTTGGCCTGATTTGGAACGGCTGAATATTTCAGCTCGCCGCATCAGAATCCAGTCTCAGGCTCACGCACCTACAAGTTGCCTACTCTAAAAACCTAATAGAACAAGAGAAGCGACCTAAGTAAAGTCACATGGTCAAATTTCTGGATGTCCTCTTCTAAAGCTAGCCTAATAGCACCACGTGTATTTACAACCAGGACTGAGAAGATAATAATGGTTCCATCAGGTGAGAAGTAAGTCATGTTGATTACCGAGATCATAGTCTCGTCATCTAAACAAAATCATATACAAGAAGTGTTAGCCCCCCAGGCCCAGCCCAGCCTCATTACTGCTGTCCATTAAACCCCGTAAACCCATTAACACCATTCCCCAGTGTATCAAAACCGGGATATATCTGCCCCCAATTAACATACTCCGTCTGCGGTGTCATACCTCCCGTGGGAATAAGTTGATCGGGCATCATCTGCGGATACATAACCCCATTGTTCCAAGCCTGCACATCCGTCCCATCCATCCCCAACATCGGCTGCATCAACTCCTCAAACCCAGCCGCAGGAATTACCTCATTAACTGTCTCAGGAACCTGACTTCCCCGTAAAGCAGTCCTAACAGTCCGCACACTGTCTCTATGACCGAGCATCACACTACCGCTCTCTTCGGACCCATCATCCATTACAACGCCGGAATCAGGACGGGGCATTATGCCGCGGGGTTTGCGGATGCTTTGTGCTACTTGAGAGCGGATTATGTCGTTCTTTTTGTTGCTGCGGTTCGTGTAGGGCATGCTTTGTGCGTTTGCGATGCATTGGTCTAGAGTCTCGATGAAGCATTGGTAGAATTTCGTAGAGAGGGTTTCGAGAGTTGCGGGGTTCGAGATTTTGTCGAGGAGGGAGTATTTGAGCTGGTCGAATGCTTCGCGGTACTTGGCTTCGACTTCGAAGTGCTCGATCACAGGTGTGTATTCTGCTGAAATCAGCCCAATTCTCTAAGATTACGGGTGACGACTACTTACCGTATGGTCGAACATCACTATCATCATCATCGGGAAACACAATATTCCAGATCTCCTTCCACTGAACTTCAGGCGATGTACCACTCGCCCTCTTCCTACTCAAAAGCTTTGTGGCAGTCTGAGGATCGATGCCGCTTTCGGCATCAGCATCAGCAATGTCGCACATGTACTCCTTCGGCAAACGCTGATGATCACGTAGTTCTTTTCGCGTGGGAAAATCACGACTACAGCGATCGCAGACGAAAGCAGATGGATCGTCGCGCTTATGCTGCTTAACAATGTGTTGCCTTCAAAATGTCAGCAGGGCTCTGGTAGAGGCAGAGAATTCGACCAACCTGAGCTCAGCGAATTTGGGAAAATAAGTCATTGCGCAGCTATGATGATCCCTCACATTGAACCGATGAGGATTCCTCTTTCGGAACGGACAACTCAATCGAAGATTCTCGTCTTCCTTGGGATTCGGTCGTGAGCGCTTGGTCGGCAGATATCCTGACCCTTCACCATCGCTGAACTCATCGCCATCGTCTTCACGTCTCCCTTGCTTCTTCCTCTTTCCGCCCCGACGATCGCCGTTAGCGTCTTGGGAGGGTGTAGAGGAAGAGCTCGATGTGGACATTGTGTGCGATAATTGGCCATCTGAAGCAGATTGCCAAATATGCTGACCTATGTCTTGCGTGAAGTTGGATACGAGGCTTTGGACCTTGTCTTGAGGAATTGAGACGTCGTTGAGGTCGACGCCATAGATGACCTGAAGTGCGTAATTGAGCACTGAGTTTGCGTCCTCTTGCGACACATCCTCAGAGTCATCTTCATCATCATTAGAAACATCATCCGTGTGATGCGATTCTGTCGTTGGCGTAAGAACCCTCTCCTCTTTAACAAACGACTCTGTACTGGGGCTGCAACCGTAAGCGACACGATCGCACGGAAGCATCGGAAGACTCACCTCTCAGGTCTAACCTCTTGAACAACAGGTCTTCTATGCGCCTCATTCAAATTCCTAATCTTGATATCAAACTCAGGATATCCCGTGATAATCGCATCATCATCCTCATTAACAAACGTCGAGCAAGTTCCACTCGACGGATTATGCCGATGACAGATGCGACTCGCAGGCCGTGACCCATCCAGCGTCGCAGCAGCAAACTGCTCCTGGATCGAGCTCGCATACGTGGTACTAATCGGACTCGCCAGCGTAGAAAGCGAATGCGTCGTCGCAGAATCAGGCACATTCGCTGAAGAAATACTACTCATCGACGACTCCGTCGGTGATCTGAGACGAAAAGCCCCGGGGGTGAAGTGTAAACTCTCAGGTACTTTTTTGCCATTCCGTTGGTTTAAAGAGGGGAATTTGGAGAGTGGTGCATCTCTCATTCGCAGAGGAAGATGGTGAAGACCAGCTTCGCCGATGTGGTTATTATCTCCCATTGTCGCGATGCGTTTTAAAAAAGAAATGGAGAAATTCTGGAGGCGTTTGTTAGTCTAGGTGCGCATAAAGGCTGACGCCATTGAGGATGGCATGTTTCGGGTGTGTTAAACTTACAGGGTGAGATTAAAGGGTTATTTAATGCGAACTTGTAATACAGATGAAACAAGGTCAAAGGAGCGTTGAGAGGGAAAACAGACGATTGAAGGAGTGAATTAACCCGGCAGGTTTGACAGTAATTATGATCAATGATCTCTGAAACCGAAGAAAGAGAGGGCGTAAGCAGTGTTATATTAATGGAAACAGAATTAAATAAGGGAGAGAGGCAAGTCGGACATCCGTTTCATCTCATCTCACTCCCTCCCTCTCGCACAGGTTGCCTCGCCTGAAGCCTGCATCCAAGAGTCCTAGACTGTTGATCTAATTGGCAAGGCCGTTTTATTCTGGTCCACTGCGCTGGTATGAATGGGGTAAGGCTGGAGATGATCCTTGACAGAGACAAGCTCTGATTCGCTCATGATGGCCGTTGTTGCATGGGCTGTGTTGCTTGTTTTCCAGGCACCAGAAAATGGAACTGATGAACTGATCAGCCCTACGGTTCCAGTGGTTCGCTCTCGGGTCAGCGCTTGTAACGGTCTTGGGGGCTGGCTGATGCCATCGTGTTCAATTCACATCCCCAGGCTAACGTGCTGTCGCTTATCGACATTGAATGCAGACGATGTGGCATCATCGCTTAATCTGCGAGCAACAGTAACGACGCACAGCATAATGCAAGCAATTTACTGGATTGAATAGGCTTTTAAATGTGACGCCCGTTTAGAGCATGAGCCCGCTTCTCCCAGTGACACCCATACATCATATGAGCAGCTTCAAACCGTGACTCACTCTCCCAGCTTGAGGATCTCAGCAGCTCTCAACACAGCCTTCGCACTCCTCTCAACCCACTCCTCAGCCTGCGTCAAATTCCCCTGATCCAAGCTATCCTGCACCGCCGGAAAAACATCCGCACCATACCCACTATCCAGCCCCGGCGCACTAACAACATTATAAAACGAGAACCTACCCGGCAGTAATCCTTCACTCGCAAAGCCTCTGCTAAACGCCTTGTACCTCGCGTTAACAGCACTAAGCAGAACCGTATCGTTCAAGGCTAACGCTTGCTTGGCTAACGTAGAAATGCGCTTTCCTGCTTCTTCAAAGGAAGATACTGCTGAGGAAAGAGGCGTGAGATCGAGGTCGTAGGAGGGGAAGCGATCGGTGAGCTTTTCTTCGAGATCTTCAAAGATGTCGCGGAGGGCGCTGCCGGCGTGGGTGAGATCGAAGGGGATGAGGGGATCATCGGCGATGTGGTAGGTTAGGAGAGTGACGAATTGGCCCATTGCTGTGTGGAGATGAAAGCCTGGGTCTGCGTATTCAGTCATCCAGCGGTGGGTATCGTAGAGACTGAGTTATGTCAGTTGGCGTCATGGTAAGCCCAATGGAATACTTACGTATGGTATGCGTAAACGGTATCTTTGGGGCCAGGACCTCCAGCAATATCAAGCTATCGAAAGTCAGTCATGCCCTCAATCATATCTCATGTCACACTTACAGAAGTGATACCGTTGTGGTAAAAAGCAGCGTAGTCACTACCACTGCCCATAGCAGGCAAAACACCCTCAGTAGCATTGAACCAAGCATCATACAACGTCGGTCCAGCGCCATAGCCCTCAGGGAAGATGATCTTCTTCATCGTCTCAATAGCAATAGTCTGGATCTCACCTGATCCAACAATCTCTGCTCGTGGACCAGAAACAGCAGTGTCGAGGTTGATATATGCAACTGTCTTTTCGATAAGTTCCGGAAGATGGTCCTCGACCCATTCTGTGCTGCCCATGAGACCAAACTCTTCAGCGTCCCAAGAAGCTAAAATACTGCACTCGTTAGTTTTCATTATGGGTCGGGGTTGGTGAACTCACATTGTTCGACGAGGCTTCCATCCGTTCTCGACGAGCTTACCAAAAGCCTTGGCCATCTCAATAAGCAACGCACCACCCGACACTGCATCCGCCGCACCACCAGCCGTCCATCCATCTCTATGGTTCCCAATGATGACATACTCATCCTCATTTGTGCCATTAATCGAAGCAATAACATCCCACGCCGGCTCAAGCCTCGTATCCATGATATTCACAAGATTAAG